CTGTGTCTAGAGGTGCCCCTGCCCCCGTATATAAAGGAGCAAGGGGGAGGGGCGGCCGGCCAGGAGGGGTGCGCCAGGGAGGAGTCCTACTCCTACCGGGAGTAGGACTCCCTCCTTTTCCTTGTCCAAGTAGGAGAGGGGGAAGGAAGGGAGAGAGGAGAGGAAGGAAACGGGGGCGCCGCCCCCTCCTTGTCCAATTCGGACTAGAGGGGGAGGGGGCATGCGGCCTGCCCTGGCCGCCCCTCCTCTTCTCTACTTTAGGCCCATAAGGCCCATTAACCCCCGGGGGGGTTCCGGTAACCCCCCGGTACTCCTGTTTTATCTGAAACTTCTTCGGAACACTTCTGGTGTCCGAATATAGTCGTCCAATATATCAATCCTTATGTCTCGACCATTTCGAGACTCCTCGTCATATCCGTGATCACATCCGGGACTCTGAACAAACTTCGGTACATGAAAATATATAAACTCATAATGAAACTGTCATCATAATGTTAAGCGTGCGGACCCTACGGTTCGAGAACAATGTAGACATGACCAAGACATGTCTCCGGTCAATAACCAATAGCAGAACCTGGATGCTCATATTGGCTCCTACATATTCTACGAAGATCTTTATCGGTCAGACCGCATAACAACATACGTTGTTCCCTTTGTCATCGGTACGTTACTTGCCCGAGATTCGATCGTCGGTATCTCAATACCTAGTTCAATCTCGTTACCGGCAAGTCTCTTTACTCGTTCTGTAATACATCATCTCGCAACTAACTCATTAGTTTCAATGCTTGCAAGGCTTATGTGATGTGCATTACCGAGAGGGCCCAGAGATACCTCTCCGACAATCAGAGTGACAAATCCTAATCTCGAAATACGCCAACCCAACATGTACCTTTGGAGACACCTGTAGAGCACCTTTATAATCACCCAGTTACGTTGTGACGTTTGGTAGCACACAAAGTGTTCCTCCGAAAAACGGGAGTTGCATAATCTCATAGTCATAGGAACATGTATAAGTTATGAAGAAAGCAATAGCAACATACTAAACGATCGGGTGCTAAGCTAGTGGAATGGGTCATGTCAATCACATCATTCTCCTAATAATGTGATCCCATTAATCAAATGACAACACATGTCTATGGTTAGAAAACATAACCATCTTCGATTAATGAGCTAGTCAAGTAGAGGCATAGTAGTGACGTTTAGTTTGTCTATGTATTCACACAAGTATTATGTTTTCGGTTAATACAATTCTAGCATGAATAATAAACATTTATCATGATATATGGAAATAAAATAATAACTTTATTATTGCCTCTAGGGCATATTTCCTTCACCTAGATCATCAACGGGCTCATCTGATGCCTCTTCTTCAGCTTCTTCCCGCATTGCCGGCTCAGCTTCTTCCCCCATTGTTGTATCATCGTATTCTGGGAACCCATGGCCAGGATAGCTGTCGTCGTCCTCTTCTTCTTCATTGTCTTCCATCATAACCCCTCTTTCTCCATGCTTGGTCCAAACATTATAGTGGGGCATGAAACCGGACTCAAACAGGTGGACGTGAATGGTTCTTGACGTAGAGTAATTGTGACCATTCTTACAGCCAACACATGGACAAGGCATAAAACCATCCGCCCGCTTGTTTGCCTCAGCCGCAAGCAGAAAAGTATGCACGCCATTAATGAACTCGGGAGAGCATCGGTCATCGTACAACCATTGCCGGCTCATCTTCAATACACAGCACCGAAAATACCAAATTAATACAATACATAAAGTTCATACAACACTTAAATGCAACAAACAAATAACTCTCTAGCTAAAGCATTTAAATGCAACAACAAATGCGATCAAGATCGCAACTAAGGTAACAATTGATCCAACAACATAATGATACCAAGCCTCACTATCGATGGCATATTTTCTAATCTTTCTAATCTTCAAGCGCATTTTCTCCATCTTGATCTTGTGATCATCGACGACATCGGCAACATGCAACTCCAATTCCATCTTCTCCCCCTCAGTTCTTTTCAATTTTTCTTTCAAGTACTCGTTTTCTCTTTCAACTAAATTTAACCTCTCGACAATAGGGTCAGTTGCAATTTCCGGTTCACATACCTCCTAGAAAAAATATCTATGTCAACTTGATGAGCATAATTTTTCATAAACACGAAATGCAACAAGTTTTAAAAGAGAATATACCATATCCGAATCATAATAAGGACGAGGGCCGGCGGGGACGGATATCAAAACCATGGCACTATGTATAACAAACAACGTATGGGTAAGATAATTATACGAGTAACTATATATCCAAATCACACAAACATCAATTTTTATATAAAATTTCATGAACAAGAGGCTCACCACAAGGTGGTGCCGGCGACGGGACGGTGCGGGCGATCGACGGTGGTTACGATGGAGATTTAGAAGGCACTAAGTAAACCACACCTACATATGCAAACTAAGTGTTATGTTGACCTCAATTTGCATATAAATCAAATACTACCACATATAATTCCTCCCAAATTACTAAAACCCACAATTAATCATTATATAAACCAATGCAAGAGCTAATCTAGCAATGAGAGATGAAAGGACAAAGTTGCTAACCTTTGTGATCATTTGAATGGATGGGGGACTGCAAATCTTGACAAATTTGGGGCAAATTTTGTGATGAACTCGAGAGGAGAAGGGAAGAACAGAGGAGAGGGAGAGGGAAATGGGGGAAGAACAGAGTGCGGGTGGACGAATGGTTTATATAGGACGACCTTTAGTACCGGTTCGTGTCACGAACCGGTACTAAATGTGCTGGAGGGGCCCCACTCTGACTACATCCTGCCACCACACTCTTTAGTACCGGTTCGTGGCACGAACCGGTGCTAAAGGTTCGCCACGAACCGGTACTAAAGAGCTCCTCCCGCCTAGCCGTTGGAACCGACACTAATGGACACATTAGTGTCGGTTCTGTTACAAACCAGGACTAATGTGTCTCACATTTGACCCTTTTTCTACTAGTGTCACAAACGCGAAAATTGTTCTGGGTCGTAGCTCCAGCTGTCGCTGGTCACATCGCTTGGCTGTTGGTCGCAGTATCCGGTGCTAGGTTCCATCTCGCACACTATGGGACTATGACGTGGACATGGCGAAGAGCGTGGGCATGAAAACGGCACGTCAGCGTTGGCCCGATGGGTGTGCAAATGGCACGGGAGGCAGGAGCTGAAGGCCAGCCTCGATCCATAGAGTTTGCTGCCTAGGATGATCACGAGGAAGGAGTGTATGCGGGTGTTGGGAAAAGGATAAGGTACACGTGTTTGCCTTCCTGATGGAGTAGCAGCCAAAAATAGCCAGCGTGTCAAAGCGACCGGCCCGAGTGTTCCACGGGCGTGCCGCGCACAGACGTTTCCCTTTTGTATATGATGAAACTAGCAGAGTATCATTTCATATAATCAATTATTTTTGGCCTAATAAGAGAGAAAGTTAATTAACTGGATTTAAAAATCATTAAATTCCGAAGGTTTTCCACACACAGCGTCCGACCCCGAGAGATAGAGCATGCTTCGCTAAGTTGCGAGCTTTATAATTTGAGCTCCTAAATTCATGGCTAACTTTACACATATCAAAAACTGAAGAGTGGCTTAATATTTCATGCACAATAGCACCATATGGAGAAGCGTCCTCTTTCTTCAGTGAGTCGACGACCTGCTTATAGTCAGATGCAACATGAATGCGCCTTTGGTGCAGGTCCTCCGCAAGTGCAAGTCCTTCTTTAATCGCTATGGCTTCTAGCGTCTCCGGATCCCCGATGTGCCTCATAATTAAGGCTGAAGCTCCCAAAAACAGACCATCCGGGCTTCTACAGATTGCCCCCACAGCCCCAAACCTAGCATGCCTGGGTGTCGCCGCATCTACGTTTATTTTCACACATCCAGTGGCCGGAGCCTGCCACTAGGTTGGCCTTGTGGCTTTCACGGTGGTCCCTCGAGGTTCACCTGCATTGATATGCTTCAGATCATCCAGAAAGCTTGTGATGAATCCATGAATGGAGTGTGGCGATTGGAGGTAGGAGAAGATAAGCACGCACAGGCTGCATACCGGCTCGTATCCCTCCCATCTCCCCTCGTGCAAGTGGCCCATCTTGTGCACTCGCCTCAGCCTGGCTCGAGAGAAACTGCCGATTCCTGGGTTCTCAGCGAGGCAAGCCCAAAGATGCTTTAAGTTTCATGCTATACAGGCCCAATAATAAAACCAGGCAACTAAACAGCCCGTTCGCTTCCCGCGCGGGCCTGGTTGGGCCTCACACAGGCAACCAAACACGCCCCTATTGATTAGGAGACGCATGCGGAGCCGCGTACGGCACCAGGGGCGCTGTCCATAGAGTTTGCCGCCTAGGATGATCGCGAGGAAGGAGTGTATGCGGGTGTTGGGGAAATGATAAGGTACATGTGTTTGCCTTCCTGGTGGCTATTTTTGTCCAAAGCAAAAATAGCCAGCATGTCAAAGCGACCGGCTCGAGTGTTCCACGAGCGCACAGACGTTTCCCTTTTGTATATGATGAAACTAGCAGAGTATCATTCCATATAATCCATTATTTTTGGCCTAATAAGAGTGAAAATTAATTTACTGGATTTAGAAATCATTAAATCCCGAAGGTTTTACACTAATATAAAAAGTGAAAATCCAATAAGTTATTTATATGTAGACATAGGAGTATGCGTATGCATGCGCCAATATGTGCTGCGGATAGAAATTATTCGAAGTATTTCAGAAAGTCGGATTCATGGGACGATGTTGTTGTTCCATGGCAACACACTAGTTTATCGATCTTGGTGAAGACTAAATATGAGACAAGTTATGAATGTATTTTGCACAAACAATACTAACTATACTTAAATATGACTTATTTTTTGTTGCAGCTATATCTCCTAGTCACATAAAATATGTATACAGACATCCATTTGGACGACAAGCAATTTCGGACGGAGGGAGCAGTATCTAGTCGTAAATTACAGTGCCCAAGCTGCTCGCGAGTCTTGTGGCATGGAGTAGCAGCTAAATTTGTGCTTGATGAGCTGAAGCTCTGGCGTGACCTTAACATCCACGGCGGTGATGGTGAGTAGGTGTGGGTTTGGCCTTTCCGCCGACCACCCAGTGCAGCGGTTATTTTCGATAAGCATCGTGATGCACAGCCTGCCGCCTCCAAGGTACGCAAGCTGGGTGCTGTTGTATAACTTGAGATATCCACGGGGCCACGCCCGCGGCCGGGTAGATGGGCATATCTCGTCCAGGCTCCAGCACTTGATGATCGCCGGCGGCCTGGCATCCATGTCGCAGGCGGCCAGTCGGTCATATTCATCCCCGCAGCCGCGCAACTTGCCGAAGAGCAGCTTCCTGCCGCCCAGAATGCCATCAGAGACCAGGACCGAGAGGCCCGCGAGGGGCAGCTCCCAGGCGCCTTCCATGCGCCACCGGCGGCGCGCCGCGTCAAATGAGAAAGTTCCTTGGTCCTTGAAGGAGACCCAGACGTGCGCCCCCGCCGCGTCGGCGAAGTAGCCAGTGATGTCTGGTTTGCCAGAGAGGCCCGGCGGGTCCGGGATGAGATGCCAGGCCCAGGGGCCGTTGGGGAGGCGGAGCAGGAGCTCGAAGCAGGGATCTTGTGCTCCTGCTCCTGTCCGGTCCGGGTCCGAATCAATCTCCGCCTTCGGGCAGAGGGGCATGGATAAGAACATGTCGTCTCCGGCGGGAGCAAGTGCCTGGAACAGCTTAGTGAAGAGCTGGTCGGGGCCGCCTGAGGCGTCCGTGTTGCCGCGGTTGCAGATCAGAGTACGTCCCTGGGTGGTGGCCGTCACGACGAGGTTGCCGGAGGATGCGATGGCCATAGCCTCGCCGCGGCAGAGATGCCTGAAGCGGACGACAGGCCTGGGGAAGCTCAGCACCGGCGGGAACTCGTCGTCATCACTGGGTTGGCCGGAGAGGATATGCTGGAGATCGAGCTCGTAGAAGAGGCTAGCCAGCTCTTTGGGGTCGTGGACCATCACCGAGGCTACAGAGATGTCTTGGCGGGGCTGCTGCGCGGCGGCCATTGATCAACCTGGTCGATTGGCAAGGTAAGCGCACGTAGGAAGCTGGACCAAACCAGGCTGCTTATATATATACCTAGCTAAACTAGCGATCGATTTCGCCGGACAGCTGCAAACACGGGATCTTTCGCCCCTTCTGCTCTAGCTTCCCAAAGGCGTCTCTCCTTTATATTAGTACTATAATACTATATCATAAGATTACGTAGACTCCAAGATAAGCAAGTCCGAGTACAACACCTCAATGGTGTCTAATCCGGTAATGCTACACCCACGTAAGGCTACGTATGTGTTTTACGTAATGTGCAAGGTGGACCAATCAGATTAGACGAAGGAGGATGAAGCGGCCCACCCTTCTGAAAATCAGGAGGGGCGAAGTTAATTAGTTAGGAAGGTCACGTTAGTCTTTGTAGGCCCTACGTAGATGTAGGATTATCGGTGTCTAATCGGGCACATCGTCTTTTTTCTTTTTTTTAGGGAAATCGGGTACAACATCTTTTCTGTTTTTTAGGGGAATCGGGTACAACACCTTTTCACTGCGTTAATACCCGGCTGTTTAAATACCACACTGCTGGAATTTCCTCATACGCGCGCTGATTGCCTGGCTCTTCGCCAAGAGCCAAACCACGGGTACTCGGCAAACCGAAGTAAACCGAAGTAAGCCGACATGAAGACTCGGCAATAGGTGCTACTCGGAAAACATGGGCAGTTGCCAATAACAAGTGCAAAACACACTCGGGGAATGGATGATACTTGACAATCGCTCCTTTTTGCCGAGAGCCAAACAGTGAGCAGACGGCAAAGTGGTGCCACGTGGCAAGCCCAGCAGTGGTTAATGACTAGGTGACGGTGGCACTGTTTGTGGAGACAACGTGGCTTGACTGTCTGTGCATGGCACACTGTTGATTGAAAATTATGTAAATATCTTGACATGAATTAAGACTTTATTGAAACTAGTTTTTCAGTAAAGCATTTAGGCAATATAGCCTTGGTATTAGACATAATGATATATGGAGATAGTAGTGTCTAATCAGGCTTGTTCAAAATACATATTGACAAGATACTATAGCAATTTAGCATGAAAAACGTAAGAAGAGTTTCTTGTCGAATTCACATGGAAGGTGTTTTAAGCAAAATTGATATCCTGCAAATACTGATGAGAGAAATACATGATTTCAATCACACTTGTGTTAAATATATTTTGTGGTATGTAAACAACCAGATATGTCTAGCACTCCAAGTAAGTTCTGAGTAAAATTACTAGAATGATCAAATTGTTGATCATAAGACAACAACGAAAATACCGTGAAGTACCGACGACATGTTTCTCGCATATGAAGAAAATAAAAAGATTGTTGTAAGGGGTTACATCAATTCAAGTTCATTTTAAGCAGTACATTGATAAAATCTTCATTAGTGCACGAATCAAATATTTTTTACCCCTGCCGATTGAGCGATACGTGTGCACGATGGTTTTCGTGAAGTGGATATAGCTCTCTTGGACTGTGTATGTTTCTCCTAGAGGTGAATGGGCTTATCTTGTCTCATGTGTCTCATGTGAAAAGATGGTTTGACTGCATAGACTGGTTTTATATCATGTGAGAGCTGCATGGGCAGTTGTATGGGCTGCATGTGCTGCTGCATGGCTCATGCATTCATGCATGTGTCCACCTTTGCATGTTTGGAGTTTCATATTTGCACACATTTATGTTTTGGGTCCTTCTTTGCTTGTCTATAAGTAGCTCTTTTTAATAGCACCTATGAACTTGACGTGTGTGATGCATGGTAATACCTTCGATCGTATCTCTTTTTCCATGTCGGGCCTTTAGCGGTTTTCAGGTGTGTTTTCTTAAGCGGTTGGCAATTTGACCGGGCCTTCCGGGTTGTTCGTATCATGTCTTGCGAGTTCGTAGATATTTTCCTTGTGTCTCTCGAAGCCTCGAGTCCAATCCGGTGACACCGCTATACCACCCTTTCCGGATATAAAAGGCCACCAGACGGACTCTCGCCTCATCTCTCGGTGCCCCACTCCTGCCACGTCCCCATCCCCATCTCCTCTTCTTTGCGGATGCGCCCGCCCAGGCCACCGATTACCCTCAACATTGGAGCCCTCAACCATGTCATCGGCGGAGGGAGTGATGACCCACAAGTATAGGGGGTCTATCATAGTCCTTTCGATAAGTAAGAGTGTCGAACCCAACGAGGAGCAGAAGGAAACGATAAGCGGTTTTCAGCAAGGTATTCTCTGCAAGTACTAAAACAAGTGGTGACAGATAGTTTTGTTATAGGATAATTCGTAACGAACAACAAGTAACAAAAGTAAATAAAGTGCAGCAAGGTGGCCCAATCCTTTTTGTAGCAAAGGACAAGCCTGCACAAACTCTTCTAATGAGAAAAGCGCTCCCGAGGACACATGGGAATTATCGTCAAGCTAGTTTTCATCACGTTCATACGATTTGCATTCGGTACTTTGATAATTTGATATGTGGGTGGACCGGTGCTTGGGTGCTGTTCTTACTTGAACAAGCATCCCACTTATGATTAACCTCTATTGCAAGCATCCGCAACTACAACAAAAGTATTAAGGTAAACCTAAACATAGCATGAAACATATGGATCCAAATCAGCCCCTTTCGAAGCAACGCATAAACTAGGGTTTAAGCTTCTGTCACTCTAGCAACCCATCATCTACTTATTACTTCCCAATGCCTTCCTCTAGGCCCAAATAATGGTGAAGTGTTATGTAGTTGACGTTCACATAACACCACTAGAGGTTAGACAACATACATCTCATCAAAATATCGAACGAATACCAAATTCACATGACTACTAATAGCAAGACTTCTCCCTTGTTCTCAGGAACAAATGTAACTACTCACAAAGCATATTCATGTTCATAATCAGAGGGGTAATAATATGCATAAAGGATCTGAACATATGACCTTCCACCAAATAAACCAACTAGGATCAACTACAAGGAGTAATCAACACTACTAGCAACCTACTAGCACCAATCCCGGACTTGGAGACAAGAATTGGATACAAGAGATGAACTAGGGTTTGGAGATGAGATGGTGCTGGTGAAGATGTTGATGGAGATTTCCCTCTCCCGATGAGAGGAGCGTTGGTGATGACGATGTCGATGATTTCCCCCTTCTGGAGGGAAGTGTCCCCGGCAGAACAGCTCTGCCGGAGCCCTAGATTGGTTCCGCTAAGGTTCCGCCTCGGTTCCGCCTCGTGGCAGCGGAGTTTCGTCCCAAAAGGTTGCTTCTTGATTTTTTCTCGACGAAAGACTTCATATAGCAGAAGATGGGCATCAGAGAGCCACCAGGGGGCCCACGAGGTAGGGGGCGCGCCCTAGGGGGGGGGGCACCCTCGTGGACAGGGTGTGGGCCCCCTGGCCTTCATCTTTGGCAGGTATTTTTCATTATTTATTGTAAGATATTCCGTGGAGTTTCAGGACTTTTGGAGTTGTGCAGAATAGGTCTCTAATATTTGCTCCTTTTCCAGCCCAGAATTCCAGCTGCCGGCATTCTCCCTCCTTATGTAAACCTTGTAAAATAAGAGAGAATAGCCATAAGTATTGTGACATAACGTGAAATAACATCCCATAATGCAATAAATATCGATATAAAATCATGATGCAAAATGGACGTATCAACTCCCCCAAGCTTAGACCTCGCTTGTCCTCAAGCGAAAGCTGATAACAATAAATATGTCCCCATGTTTAGAGGTAGAGGTGTCGATAAAAAAATAAAATATGGACATGAAGGCATCATGATTATTCTCATAACAGCAACATATATAGATATTGTCATATGATTACTTATGTTCAAGTGATGATCTATTCACAATGCAAAAGTATGAATCAGAAACTTCATTGAGAACCAGCAAACTATAATCTCAGTCATTGAAGCAATTGCAATTTATCATAACATCAGAAAGAGTCTATGTCAGAGCTTAAAAGCAAGTCCACATACTCAACTAACATCTAGTCCTTCATAATTGCTAACACTCACGCAATACTTGTGGTTACGGAGTTTTAATCGGACACAGAGAAAGATAGGGGCTTATAGTTTCGCCCCACAACTTTTTAGCTCAAGGATAATGTCAACAATAATAACTCATGCTCCCCTACATCCAATTAGGTACATATATCAGACTCTTTCCAGCATGTTGTGCTTGCCAAATGATAAAATGAAAAAGGAAAGGTGAAAATCACCATGACTCTTACATAAGGTAGAAGATAATAGTAACAGATAGGCCCTTCGCAGAGGGAAGCAGAGGTTGCCATGCGCTTTTATGGTTGGATGCACAAAATCTCAATGCGAAAGAACGTCACTTTATATTGCCCCTTGTGATATGAACCTTTATTATGCAGTCCGTCACTTTTATTACTTCCACATCACAAGATCGTATAAAGCTTATTTCTCCCACACCAATCAATCATAAATATTTAGAGCAATTTTTATTGCTTTGCACCGATGACAACTTACTAGATGGATCTTACTCAATCCATAGGTAGATATGGTGGACTCTCGTGGCAAAACTGGTTTAAGGGTATTTGGGAGCACAAGTAGTATCTCTACTTGGTGCTGAGAATTTGGCTAGCAAGAGGGGGAAAGGCAAGCTCAACATGTTGTAGGATCCCTGACAACATACTTTATCTCAGATATAAGAAAACACAACTCATTACGTTGTCTTCCTTATCCAACATCAACTCTTTTAGCATGTCATATTTTAACGAGTGCTCCCAATCATAAAAGATGTCAATGATAATATATCTATATGTGAAACCTCTC